AATAATTTCATCCACCAACATGGTCTCTTCTGTTCACTAAAAAGATTCGTGAGTACTGCCGTCCTAGAAAATGTTTCTCTTATTTCAAATATGAATTTTCATCGGAATTTCTAAAATTTCGTTCTTCGAATTACAAATTCCTCCATCACTTATTAATATTTGTTTTCATAGTTACTCTTCATGATCCACCAGATCATGGAGAGTTACTAAGAATAGTTTAGCTGAATTCTTGTACTTGAAGACAATCGAACGATTTCAAGATGTGCATTAATGTTACCTGTTTGAACAGTTTTGGATTTCCGGGAATCGCCATAGTTTTGCGTTTACAAGTTATCTTGGGTACCTACCATTTTCATACCACACACTGAATTTTTACATTTTCATACTACACAATGTATTGTAATAGGTTGCTCTCCATCGTTATCGTTTGCACGAAGGTCTCCAGCCGATCGCATCTGTCGACCTCGGCGGTACCTGCATTTATATCCTTAGGACCTTTTCGCACATAATCAACTGATGACGAGCCGAATGTGCTTGTGATTTTACAACCTGTTCGTTGTTCGTTTTACAGCCTCGTATGGACTGGGCCCCAATAGGCTCAAATAAACTATTCTACAAAATGTTTGCCTGATTCTATTCAAAGTTCAGAGTAGCTATTTAGGGCCAGAGCCTTATAGAGGATTTAATTGCTTAGAAGCAGTAAGGCACAGAAAAATCTGGCGTATCCTTCATTCCATTTTGCAAGGTTCAACAGGAACACGATCATAATAAGTGATGGAGGAATTTGTAATTCGAAGAACGAAATTTCAAAATTCCGATGAAAATTCATATTTGAAATAAGAAATTGCCTGGACGGTAGTACTGCCTCTTTTTAGTGAACAGAAGAGACCATGTTGGTGGAGGAAATTATTAAGACTGATCAATACAATGCCCTGACACCTCGGCAGGATAACTACTTAGGAGGTCGATTGATCGCTGACAAGGAAGATGGCCGGAGAAAACTGCGAAGGTTGTAGGAAGTTCCATGAGGTGATTTTCATATGAATAGATAGCATTTTTCATGGGGATTCCAATGGTGTTTGGTTGGGATTTTCTTCCTATGGAAAACACGAAAATTTTGCTTTGAAATGAAGTCTCGAAGTTGGCACCCGGTAACATCAACCACTCCAGAATATACCACTGTTTCCCACCATGTTCCGAGAAAGCACAAGACGTTCTGTATGAAGCTTTTTTATGGAATTTATGGGGCCACTCAGAGGGCTAGAAATCCTACTTGAAAACGCTGGAAATCGAGTACTTGTCTACTATTGCACGAAGTGATCATTTCAATTAGCTAAGAACCCTTCTTTTTTAGAAAGCGGGGCTCCATATTTTTGGCCCGCTGTGCTCTTGTGGTCCGAACTGATAGAGATTGCTGCAGTGCTCGAGATTTTTCGGACTGAAAAGGCTACATTGTCCGAAAATGACATCGAGCGAAACCCATCCATTTTCAGAAAAATTGGCACCGTAATGATCAGCATCGTTTAGGAAACACAACTATCTAATTTTAATCACTTCTTACGCGACACAGTACATTATTCGATTCCTGAATGATTCAATTCCCAACGACTACCCTCTGGTTACAATTATAGCGAGACTCGCTCGCTAACGAGTATCCTCGGGTACTTCGATAGGGAGCAGTGATAAATTTTCGACTTTTCCAGTTTTTTAGAATGCTATCTTATAGAGCTCGACGAGCTCAGTCTAACCGTGTAGGGTTCTATATGAGAAAAGTTCACACAAACTGAGTTATAGCCTATAGCGGAATCTGACCGGTTTTCAGGAAAAAGCTGATGACCTACTTACCGAAATTCGACGGGTCATACACCGTTAGACTCGCCACGCAGAGACGAATCTGAATATATCTGTTGCTTCTCCCATCATACCTTTTTGAAAGGAGTTATGGCAGTGCGGCGCTTTGGGGCGCTTTGCGGCGGTCTGCGGCGGATTAATCCGCCTTTTTTCCAAAAATTAGGGGCGGTATTGTACCTATAGGGTACAAGGTAAGAACAACTATATCACTGAGGGAACTGAACTACCAACTATTCTGAGTAGCGTAAATTCCTTCCAAAGCTCAACAAAAGTAAAAGGCTTGCGATATTGTAGGAAGTTGACTGGGTGCACGACCAGAGGCGTTATGACCACCTTGCAGTTTACAAAATCGTTTAGTCGGACATTTGCCTGTTGGATTGGACGAATGCGTGTTGAACATTATTTCGATGCTCTGCATTCATTGGAATGCATTACAGAATTAGGCACGAGGACACGAAAAACCTAGAATTAGTGGAACATGATTTCAACAATGAGGTCAGAGCCATGCACGTAAATTGAATGATTGGCGATTCCAGGCTAACCGCCTGTGTAAATAAACGAATCATATTGATCAGTAATACCTTTTCATTCATTTCTCACAACGTTTTCTAGAGTAAATGTGCCAAGCCCACTATTTCACCCTATGCTTCTTTCAAAACGTTTTGTTTCATACAATAAGTTCGAGGAGAAAGGATAAACGCACCTTCTTTGCATTGCGTTATACCATGAGCTGAAGCTGCCTGGTTTTGTACATGGCACATAGGGCGAATTCACCTCATTGGTCTCTATTCTTTCACAGTGATCCCCTGAAAAGAAGTAGAAGCTTCTCACTGGGTAGATTATAGCTAGTGAAGAACGCTGCTCGACAGTAAAAGGTTTAATAAAAATGTGAGTTCGAATATCATGACCAAATCTCGTTATGGTAAGAAAGATCGTTTCATTCTGACGTTTTCAACCGACCATCATGCCCGCTCAGCAAAATTATACACTCCATATCCCAGGAAGGGAAGGGCGTGGCTGCGCAATCCATTTCAAAGTATGTATCGGTCTGCCGTTTGGGGACAACTGCAACTCGAGTCCTTGTTCAGTATGAGACAAATGACATCTGTCTCAAATGGAAACATCCAGCGAAAAACTTGTCTACGCCATGTTCAAATGAACTGGGCAGCCACGCCCTCCCCATATCCGATCTATAGAGTGTCTTTAACCACATGTTTGTGTTCTTTTCCTGCTTTGTCAAGTTACTCCACTGTTATAATTCCCTCATTTTCAGGTACTGCCGGAAAAAGGACTTAGAAAAGGAGTAAATCCTTGCGAAAAAAGAGCAAGCTACAGCCGATTCTTACGCACTCAGCGGTGGAGAACAACAAGAAGTTAGAAGATACAGACAAGTGTCGCTATGGCTATTATTAGGCGTGTGGCTGGCCATGCGACAGCACTGTCGGAGTATGAAGACAGTTCCCGAATATCACAGTCCTCCAGCCCTGTCCCGGAACAGTTTCAGAACGGAGGAAGTGGCAAGTTACTGCAAACCTGTTCGTCTCGCACATAACAAGAAAAGGGTCTACGGAGGCGGATGGTACAACAATTTAAGTATAACTCAAAGTCGTCAAAGACAAATTCCTACGACTGGCAGTAGGGCGTGATCCGTCATAGCATCTGCTTGCAGGACCCATTCATTAAGGACGAACCCATTGCAAAACGGAACTGGCATGACTGGAAAAAGGGCGATTTCTCACGAAGATTCACCACTTCAGCTGGTGAACTCCGTCTTGGCCGCAGCTCACGTACACTCGAAATCCCTGAGAAGAGGTAGGCGTGGCTGCGTACTTCAACTAAACGTCGTGCTAAAGATGCTTTTGGAGCGATACTTTCATTCTTACCCAAATGTGGTCACGTCCTGTCCAACAAAGAACAAGATGGTGGTTGTCTCAAACTGAGATATCCCAGGAGTAACCGGTTCTGTGCCATGTTCGAATGCCACGCCTCCCCCGTCTCAGGGATAGGGAGTATATTTTCTCTTAGTACCTAGGGGTTTAGTCACCAAATCGGTCTGATCGACTCTTAGAATGAATATTGGGAGCAGCAGCCTATCGAGCCAGAAAGAAAAGCCGCTCCCGAAAAATAGTACTAAATTGAGCGGAATGATCAAATGAGGCAAGCAGCGTTGTTGAAGTGCTGGCTGAAATACATACTGAACAGTCCTTTGCAATTTGTGTGCCATATAACCACCCGTGTCGATGCAAGAAAAAACGGTGAACTCTTTGGTTTCTTGAATAAGGTTGTGAGTGAGGAATGAGCCACAGGAAAACTTTCTGCGTGGTCAGTCACAGAATCGTGGTGGGAAAAGTGTAGCACGAAAAGAAACCACATCCTTCATCACTGCGCATTATTCAACTTGAAGCTATTGAACTTACTTTCTTTTATTATCTTCTCACCCTTATTTTGGTTCAAACAAAGTACAAATAAAGAATGAGACCTCCACTGCGAGCCCCTTTTGTGATGCTGCACTATTTCCATTCAGAATTGTAGCCCTTGAATGCAGTTGGGGCTACAAGGATTTGCAGGTTTGGCCTACAAAGATTCCAGGAACAGCAAATGTCCAAGTGTTCTCTCCTACCAGGCGAATTTGGTAGCCATTTAACGTCCGCTAAAGAGAGAAAGGTTTCGGGTGACCTGGGTGGGAGCTATCCGGTATTTCACGCCCGGACCGCGCGTGTGGTAAGCGTGCCACTTGCCACTACACCAGTTTCACGTCACCTCCGATAAGTGAGAAGAAGCCTGTGACATAGAAAGAAGGGAAGGGGATATACTGCACTGAGATTAGGAGAGAAGCCCTCTTCTTTTTTCAGTGCTTCCTCATAAATTGCATTTCGACCAACTGGGGCAAACCTTGCTACCTGACCGAGAAATAAAAGACTTCCGTATTAATGAAATTTTGAAGGAATAGCGATACTGGGAATTCTTTTTCAATTAAAGCACAAAGGCGAGTGGAGTAAGCAGTAGCTGAATATCGAGGTGCAGTGCACCATCTTTTATGATATGCGAGTAGAAGCAGCACCACATCAAAATGCTTGACGAACGAAGATAAGCCCACCTGTGACCTTCGCTTGGACAAGTTCGATTGCTTTAGGACACTCGCATACAGCTTCGACTGCGTTTTCTTTTTCATGGTATTTCAGCGTACAATTTGATGCGTTCATACAACTGTAGCCTGCGCACGGAGACCGAATGTCACACTGTAAATTTGAAGTTAACCATTGAGATAGAAGGAATTCCACGACGCGTTCCTCAACTCGCCTTTTCCAACCGCTGATGGAGAAGTAGTAAGCTTCTGAAGAAAGAAAGGATCGAAAGGTTTTGCCACATTACGTATAACATGAAATCAACGCTCTGAATGAAAGTCTCGGAAAAGCATAACTCTTTCGCTACTAGTGGACTGCGAGGGGTAAAGATCCCGAAGCACAGTTTGACTACGAGAGGGGCATTTTGTACTACCATTGCTTCAGTTCCGGTTTAAATGTCTCATTCTGGGAAATCTGGAGTCTTTGGAACTGGAGGGAGGTCGTCAAGCCATCATGTGGGAACCTGTCGACTCGGTAAGAGGCTCTCTAAATAGGTCGACTGTCGAGGGGAAGGAGCAAAAGTGCAAAATGACCTCCTCCCCTCCTCCTCCCCCCGTCGTCAAGCTGCGCCAGATCTCGATGACAAGGAGGTAATTAACACTAGAATTAACTCCGAGAGCCAAATCTGCAAGTCTGACTGTGTCAGTACATGCTTTCCTATTTCAAAATTACTCTTCAGGCAAATTCTTGATTAATAAGTTATTTTGCAAACATCGAAGCAAAAATATATGGAAGTAGTACCGCTTAAACTCCGACCCATCGTGGGATCGCATTTTGCAATCGCAACCACTCCAGGGCGTAATGGCCTTGCCCATGACTACTGCAGTAGTCCTCTTCACAACTTCGCTCTTCTTCAGTAATGTGACAGAATTCGCCGATAAAACCATCCGGACAGATACACCTGGACAAACTAATATGGCCAGTCCTGACAGCATCCCTGTGTTGAATAATTCAAAGACTACTGATACTGAATGGTGATCAGCGACACTTGTTTTTGGTCCAGCTCGCCTGAGATGTGAAGGGTTCTCTCTTTGAAGGCACGCAATTCTATCGGATCCATAAATGTTTGTTTTGCTGCTGTGCTGAAATCAGCTTTTTATAGAGGCAAGCATTTCCAAGTACCAAATTTTGTAATATTTCGTCCTTCGGTTTCTATTTTTCGTCCAGAAGACGAGATTATGGGGAGCTTTGCTAGAGAACTTGATTGGGACTGCTTTTGGAAAAACTTTGGGTGTGCAATTGTCGCAGCACCCGCCACAGCGTGTTATAGTAGGTAGCGTCTTAAATTAGAGCGAAAAGTCACACTATCAACCAACAGACTATAACAAATCTGCGGTTCAACCGAATCTTTGACCTCGTGATGAACCAGGTGAACTGATGTAAGCAATTTTTATGCTTCTGAGAGGTTGGTGCCAGCAAGTAGGACAGGGTAACAGGCTAAAACGGCCGGGGCAGCAGCCGCTTGGACCATCTGAAATTGACGAATAACAAACTCCCTACCTCGAAAGGCACTGCTAGACAGGATGCTGTTAGCTGTTGAGCGTGCATACCAACAAAACCGTAGAGGATGGTGTAGATATTTCTATTTCACAGGCTCTACGCCGAATTCTGTTCATAATGAGAATGTCAGAAAAAAATTACTGAAAATCACCTCAAGCACGTGCCGCCATTCTGGCACTTATGATTCTGGCAGTAGGTTGTGTTCGCTATACGTTCACATCTTTTCCCAAAGTGAGTGGGGGGACAACTGCATATGAATCTTAACGATCTTGTGATGATCAATAGAAACATGTACATAAATAAATAATGATTTCTCAGTCACTACTGTTTTACCTACCAGCATTCACGCTGGACCAAATTGCTCTATCATCTGAATCTTAAACCCCTATGGAAATGGACCTAGAGTGGACATTGAACTTATTTCGGAATGGAACTCACTCGCCATCTCGATTCGTGCATTTTCCTTTGTTCAGACATATATCTTTGGATGTCTTGCAAGGATCGTACTCGCTTTTCTCTTGAACCATGGGTACCCGGTCATCAGTAGAGTCCAGCTTCGGTACCGGGGGAAGACCAACACCGCTTGACTCTAGGCTTTGTACTCTGTCCACTTCTGATAGTTCATCGGCATATTAAGAAATTCGAAGAGCTTGCTCATACGCTGAGTTAGCCGCAGGCCTCTCCACTTTTGCCAAGGAATGGTTCTTGCTATTCCACGAATTTGTTGAATCAGTGCTTTGCACACTTTACTCAAGGTATGGTGTTTAACGTCGCAAAAATCCACGAAGGCTTTTTTGTCTGTTCTGATTGATGAAGTATTTTCCAGCAAGGAAGTTCTGAAAATGTTTGAAAAGGTGATAGTCGGTTGGTGAAAGGTCTGGAGAATATGGCGGGTGAGGTAGAACTTCAACCCCAATTCGTTCAATTTATGGATAGTGATTTGTGAAACGTGTGGGCGGGCGTTGTCATGCAAAAGAATCGGACCCTTTCTGTTGACAAGTGCTGGCTGCAGCTGACGCAATTTCCGTTGAATTTCGTCGATTTTTTTTACAGTGGGACTGTGCTGTGATGGTTTGGCCTGATGACAAAAAGCTATAATGGATCACACCAGCCGATGACCACCACACTGTGACCACAATCTTTTTTTTTCTCGTAAGAATTCGGCTTTGGAAATTGCCTCGGGTTCGCATCCAATTACTGTCGGGAACGTCTCCTGTTATCATACATGATCCACTTCATCACAGGTGACAATTCGGTCCAAAAACGGGTCGTTTCTGTTGCGCAAAAGCAGTGAAGAAGAAACCTCGAGACGTGCCAATTTCTGCCGGTCACTCAAATTGTGGGGCACCCACTTGTCGAGTTTTTCCACCTTCCCAATGCTTTCCAGAACCACGCCGCCACAGTGAATTTGCCAAGCCGTAGCTTTCTGCGCAATTCTCGAACTGTTTGTGGATGGTCACCCCTCCACAAAGCCTTCAATCTTCGTCAGTAGCTTCAAACGACCGCTAGCGAGATTCGTCAAGCGAAATCTGCAGAATCGAAATTTGTCGTTAATTTCCTCGAGACTGTCTCCGACTACGGATCTGACCCCAATGTCGTAGTTGTAGAAAATATCGTTCCGATGTGCCGATTGCTTCTGTGCTTGACGTGCTTCAAAAACGTCTTGGGAAAGGGTGTTATCAAGCAACGTAAACGACAATTATACCATCGGGATAAGCGCAAAAATTTCTCATTTTAGGGTGTAGCTTCTGAACGCAAGACGAAAAGTTTTTTAATGAGCAATGCATTAACAGAAATAGTAACCAAACGCCTGAGAACTTTTCCGGCAACTAAGATAAGGATCAACTTAAATTTTTTACTATGCAGACATTGCTGTCTAAGGAAAAGCGTTGAGGTTATCAATGGGTTCCTCATGACAATGAACCTTGTCTCTTGAATGGACCATAGTTTCCGGGGCAGGTTTCTATCGTTTCTTATACTACATATCCCGGAGGAGTTGGGGGGGGGGGGGGGGCGGCCATGCGTAAAGGGTGTGCAGCTGCTCTTCCTGTGGGGAATGTTGCCGTTTTGGGACAAATGCAATGAAGCCTCTTCCAGACTTGAGATACGGTAGCTGCTGTTTAGCATGGACTATCCCAGGGAAAATGCATCCATTTATCAAATTGTTCAAGTGACGCACGTTAAGCCAAATTCCATCTTTCTGCATTTCGTCATCTGCATATTCCGCATTTCTTCATCTATGCATTTCTGCATTTGTCCATGGTCGCAAGCTATGAACGCTGCCTAAAGAGGAATGAAATGAGCCCATGGGGCGTTTTCCACCACTAGCTGTTTCCTTCCTGAATCGATCACTGACGGGTAGAACGCAGCCGGGAGCGGATTATTCCACTTGCCCTGACACCTCTCAAGTGATCGCAAACGATGCTACCGATGACGGGTGGTGCCAACAGATTAGTGCAGAAAAGACAACGAAAAGTAGGCGCATTGAAATGGGACTCCATCAACCCGAATTAGCGTCTCGGCTCTCGAGCTGCAAATCGTGGGTAGTGGGCTCACATACGAATTTGTAGGTGCCAGTTGACCTTCAGTGTGAAGCTTTAGCCATTGATCAGTCCCTATTAGGGACCTCGGGGTAGTAGCCTTGGTTGGCATAGACGGGAGCCGTTCTCGATTTGACTACCGTATCGCATGCATGGTGAGCGGACGGGCTACTTGCCACTGCAGCCCTCCCCCTAAAAATTACCATGCAGAAATGACGAAATGCAGAAATGTGGAATTGAACAAATGAAGAAATGCAGAAGTGCGGAATCTGCGGAAATGACGAAAGGATTAGATACGTATCGACATTTCTGCGTTTCTTCACGGTCGTAAGCTATGAACGCGGTCTTACATTACCTCGACTGACTGCGACGACATCCACTGTAACTGCTTTTCACACTGATGGCTCACCAAATCCGGAGCTGTCCTCCATCTGCCTAGGTATAGGGTTTCGCAACAGAAGTCATGTGTGCACGGGATCCACACTGTGAAGAACCTCCCTGCCTCTCCCTCCATAATTCGCAACATTGACATTAGTTGCACTGATCTGGATCCTTTTCCATACGTGAGCTCTCAAAACTCTATCATACCCCTCGCTGGCGTATACTCTGAATCCCTGATCGGAGGCGTGGCTTACGCCACTTGGATTAATGACGCGGCCCAGGTATTTCTTGAGATATTGTCATTTTTAGCGCAGTCTGCATCATGTCCACATCTAACAACAGAGCAAGATCCAGTTGTTTGTAAATTGAAATATCCGTGAGAAACCTGACGCCCTTTGCCGAATGCGCACTGCTCAAAAGCCACACCTACTCCGTTTCAGGGATAAGGAATGTACTTATCTTCTTTCCATTAGGTCACTTCAGATGGTCTACCGCACGTGAACTGTCGAAGAGCGCATAGACATTGCTCACAGTCTGCGAATCTCGTAAGTGAAAAAGGCCGGCGTTTCGGCGAAAAGCTTCCTTACGTATCGACACGTTTCAGAGAGAAGAGTTAGACGCAACCGATTTTGCTCCGCTCTCCGATCGATACGTATTTATTGCTTTTCGCCGAATCTCCAATTCGTCAGGGTCACAAACTGTGAACAATGCCTTAGCTCATTCCACACGGTGTGATGGATGATGTTCAGAAGATTCTGACCCTTCGAATATCGATGGAAAGGTGATTGTGAACCATTTTAAAAAAGATGGAAACACTGCGCAGAGTTATGGATCAGACACTTTGGCAGGTGAGCTGTAAGTCTCTCCCCCGTACCGCTTGAATTTTATCGAACCAAGTGACCACAGGACGACGTCTGGTCCAGTTGTCGGATTTTGCAATGAAATTTCGGTAAGAAAGTTCCTTTAGACTGTGGACTGGTTTTTTGTGGTCTTTGGCTGTGCAAAAGGGGGGGTTCCGTTCAAAGGAGCTGGACTGAAGCACAGCTGTGGCGGTCTTCTCTACCAGTTTTGGCGGTGCAGACGGTATCAATTAGTGAAGGCAAAAGGCTTCCACCGCATTCCAGTCCACGTCCCCTTACAGAACTTCTTAGTTGTCGGGTGACGACTGTAGCCCAGTTTTCTTGACTAAATAGAGTCGTTGTCAAAGCTAGCAGCTCGATGAGCAACACCTAGTGCAGGTGAAACAATGATCTATTTTTACTTCTGCCTAAGGGACTAGCTGCTTGCTTGCCCTCCGCTATCTACAATTACTTGCGTGAAGTTGTGTAAGGCTCACCTGTGCCTGTCGGTTTTTCCCCCCCCCCCCCCCCCCCCCCCCCCCCCCCCGGTTTTTTCTCCCATGGAACAGTATCTGCAGTCCAAAGGAACAGCAAGGCAAGGCGCATAAATCAAGACATCGTAATCAAATCAAGTCAAACCGTAATTTATCGATCGTTATCATGAAGATAGCCTCTCGCAGTATGATGTCGTGGTTTGCGTGGCGACACGTCAGTTGGTTCATGGGAGGTTTATCAGGTTGAGAAGGAATTTCTGTGACTGAAGTCAAAAGTTCATCGCTCTCCTCCGATTCCAAATAACTATGGCACCGATTTAGTGCCATCAATAGGAGCGGCAGACGGCACGACCGTTCAGTGTATCGAATTGGAAGTGTTATTGCAGTTCAAATACTTTATTACCCAAAAGTAAGTATGATGAATTAACGGCGAGTTCCGTCTTCGAAGAAGACACCTCCATCGAGAGCGCAATATTTGGGACAGATTCCGCGTTCTCCGGGTGTTCCTGGGGTACCTCTGTTTCCGGGAAGGTTACGTTCCGTCGTTTCCAGGCTGACCAGGACCTCCAGGTGGTCCCTTTGGTCCAGGATTTCCTGAAATGTGAATATTACGGAAGAGTAAGTGGAGTTACCAGAACTTGTCATAAGATTTGAAAATACCTGGTGCTCCTGGATTTCCGGGCTGTCCGTTGGGTCCAGGTGGACCACGAGGTCCGGGAGTCCAGCACGAGTCGCAGGTGCTCCGGGGTGGGTGGGACGGATTGCGCGGGTTTCCAGGCTGTCTGGAGATCCGGGCTTCCTGTTTTCCAGCTGGTCTGGTGTCCTTTGGTCCGTGGTGTTCCTGGTCCTCCTGGGTTTCCGGGTCCTCCTGGGTTTCCGTCGCGTCCAGGATCTCCGGGCTGTCCAGGGGCTCCAGGTGGTCCAGGTGGTCCAGCTGGGCAAGGGTTGCATGGAGCAGGTGTGTACACGGGGCATGGTTGAGTAATCTGCCTTCCTGGGTTTCCTGGTGCTCCAGGAGCTCCGGGGTTTCCTGGTCGTCCGGGGTTTCCTGGCTGTCCAGCTGGACCTGCACCTCCACCAGAGCAGCAAGCGGTACAGTCGTTGTAAGCCTGACGGGCGGTACGGTTGCTGGGAGCCTTCATGGTGCTCACCTCAGACCATATGTCACGCGCAGAAGTCTGAAATTCATTGCTGATTGGTGGTTTTCAGAATGCGTATAAAATCTGAAAAAGTCACTTACACGGCAGTAGTTGAGTTCCGAGTACATCGTGCGCTGAACGTGGTGAACGTAGTTGTACACCATGGGCAGGGTGGTAGCAGCACCAAGGATGGCTACCACCGAGAAGGCCACAGCCGAGTAGGCCACAAAGCGGTAGGCTTTGCATCGCTGTTGGTACTCAACGTCCATGTCGACTGTCCGTGTCCATTAGCGATTCGTGGCCGCTTTTATAGCGGGCAATTCTATGCTAACCTCGAAGCGCTATTTTCAGTTTTCTTTTGCGTCACAAGTGTTACACATTAACTTCGCAGCGCGAAAACATATTGCATAGAGCATTTCGGTCCAATCTATGAGTCTGATCTCGTACAGGCAAATGATCATCTTATCATCCGTGTGAGAAAAGTTTACATCCTTAATTAGATTACGGCATCTGACCGCAACGATTTGTTGTCGGTGATCGTATCTAGCACGAAATCGCTTCGTATCGTACCTGTAATGAGCACAGATAACGATTATCCTGCTGGCCATGAACTCCAGCGCCACAGTCGAGATGACAGGATAACTGAACAAGGCTAACGCAAAACAGATTATCCATCGAGAAAATAACGCAAATCAATGTAAACATTAAAGACAAAGATCAACATGGGTTTTTCTGATGATGCGCTTTTCGTGTTGCTGGAAAACCTCTATCACCATAGCACTCACCGACCGGAAATTGGAGGGACTTCTCATTTTCGATCAAGTCTTTAACAAACGATTGCAGTCAAAAAATTCCACATTTTCTACGTGGTGCGTTATTTCAAATCAGTCCAAACTTTCAGGTGAGTTCAGGTGCTTTCGCATTCTCTTAAATAGTACATTATTTCCCTGGCGTCCGGTAGATCATTACTGAAGCACACGCGATGCTGCGATCGCCGAGATGCGGCCACTCCATGAAACGCTCTAAAGCTGCGTTCATACTTCGCGACAGCAGCGGCGATCGTGGCGATCGCCGCAATCGTCGGTACGCGACAGAGCGCGCCCCAACGCTATTACTTGGACCACTCCGAGTGCTTTCAGGCAGGATCGGCTGGAATGCTGCTTTTTATTTTGCAGTTGTCTTAAGTACTAATGCTTTCTTTGAATCAAGGCACGTGATCGCGAAGTATGAACGCCTGCTTAAGGCAGCGTTCAGACTTCCGATGACGTGCCTCGAAGCGCCACATGATCCTGCTATCTCAATAGCGCTCCACTACAAGTGACAGCGGAGCCATAGACCGATATCGATCGGTGCAGTCTGCTAGTGTTTTGAGGGAGTATGGGGAAATAGGATGGTTCATGTCGCCTAATCACACAGTTTATGACCATTCTATTTTTCTATACTGTTCCAGAGCACTTTGAACTTCGAATTCTTTGTTTGGTCCGAACTTCTTTTATCCAGTATCTCATATATTCGATCACAACTGCCAGAAATTCCTTTTGAGAACGCCTTTTCTAGAAATAAGAACCGATTTCAACTTGTAACTCCCCATGAGGCGTCCGCACGAGGAGCATCTTAAAGGCAGTTGGCACGATGATTTGGTGCTCGGCCTAAAATGCTAGTAGGGCGCTATATAGTGGGGAAATGGCGAAAGAACGGAGTGAAACGGTCAAAATCCTGCGAAGAAAAGCCTCGTTCTCAATGACTTCAAAATCAATTTCGGACGAGTTTCCCGTAGGCATCTTGCCAATAACCGCTACAGATACGGCTGCATGTATGTACTCATATATCCATGCAGCACCGCCGCCGCTTCATACCAATCCCTTCGCTTCATAATTTGCTTAGCAAATGAATCAATACGAGTCAGGAACGGTCGTCCATTTGTGGGCGGGCGGGCGTGGTGGGCGTTCGGGTCGGTATGTTGTAGCTTGATAGGGCCTTATAAGGGTACCTTCCTTGGAAAGGCGCTACGCAGCGCCTGCTCAGGGGCGCGGAATTCCATCCTACTAGGCATATTAATCCTACCCGTCTTTAGGGATTCATCGTGCCAACTGCCTTCAACCAGTGGCGGAGTTTCATAAGTAGAAGTACTCTTCACCAATGACAGACTTATCTAACCATGAGGGTATCTCAGTCCCCTCATAGTTAGACAAGTCTGTCATTGGTTAAGAGAATTTCGCTCATGTTAGCTTCTTGGGCGGGTTTGTTAAGACTAGTGATTAGAGGACAGGTGCCAGTATAATCGTTATTATCCAGCGGAAACAGGAATCGAACTTTCTAGGGCGCTTTCTAATCAGGCGAAAAGTCGTAAAGTGGACAAGATGACGCTGTTCGTGTCCATCCTTTCCAGTTCCATGATTATGAACATAGTGGATCTCAAAATAGATTGCTCCTAAGTCCGCGATCGGGTGAGGGAAAGTAGAACTGAGCTCCAAACGTAGACACATAACGGGAAGGGTGAGTACTCTACTGAGGTATGGACCAGATGAGGTACAACCAGGGTCAAGCATTATGTCGCGGAAATCGTCTGATTGGTATGCTCCCCTCCAGAAAGAAGTGTTCATACAACCCCCCCCCTACCTCACTCCAGTATTCAGTGTGTCCGCATAATAATTGCGGTTGCGTCGCGTGCTGTGGAAACGAGCGCTGTATAACCCGCTGCGCTTCCCGTAAAGATTCGACCTTCCGCGAAAAAGCTTGTCATCCGCAAACAATCTCTCGCCAAGCAGTAAGCAGGAGCCACGATTTTTTGGAAGGATCTATAGGAAATACGCTGAAGCCGTCACTGAGCATGCTCATTGGCTTCACAACAGTGATAACACGAGAATTTTCAGCGAACGAAACCCTTCAATGGATACAACTTTGTTCAGACCAAAACAGAGCGGAAAGCTAGACGCTTGCAGAGTCTTACAAGTTGGTTTCTTTCTGAAAAGTACAAGATCAGCTATCAGTATTAGATTAGTGGCTCTCATATAAAGAGAATTCGCCCGTCGTGGACTCCGCTCCGAATGGTTGCTTCAGCCTCAATGAGAGGGATCTCCAAATAGGGCCCTCATTTTCATTCAGGAACCTCGAAGGACTTTCATATGTCCTTTCTGCCTGTGATGGATAAAAATTGAAGAACAGAGGCGCTGATCGAGTTTTCCAATGGAAAACTCGATCCATGGTCATGGACCATGGTCCCCTTGCCATGACTCGAGGACATGTTTACACGTTACATGTTTTATTCACACTTACCTGATTTTTCATGGATTTTCATCTCGACGGAGATACCGCGTTCCACTGTGAGGCATAAAAGCAAGGGTAGTGTGTCTGCTGATGTTGCCTCTGCTCTCTTTAATGTTGACACAAGCACATATAGCCCCCTTCCTATCGGCAGCTCTCATATGAATCCCTCCTCCCTCGTTGCGGATTCAGGGTTCAATATTTATTTATTTATTTATTTATCATGCACGCATAGGTGCGCTAAACAGTGCAAGCGATAGGCTTAGAGTAATGGAACAACCAAAAATACGAATACCATAAATAATACAAAAATTCGGTAACACCCCAAGCAAACGAGGAAAGACTTCACTAAACTACTGGATTCAGGAATCCTGAATGCTTAGCAAGGTCATCAGATCGACCTTCTTTAGTCTCTTTCTGAACGTGTAGGTGTTAGGCGCCTCCAGCAGGTCTGATGGAAGTAGTTGGAGATATCTCGCTCCACGGAAAAACAGTGAGTTGAAAACTCTGGTTCGGTGACCCTTGCACAGTTTAGGACATTGTAAGGACAACGAGGAGGTGCGACCATTTGTCGGTCTGAACACCCAGTATTTACTGGGTTTCAACCTAAGCTCTCCTTTCAGTATCTTGAAACAAAACATAATATCATTGAACACCCTTCTATACATCAGTGATTTGAGGTTGAAAATGTGTAGGCGCTCCTGATAGCTAGGCATACTATGCGGATACTCAGGATCGGGAAAACAACGATACATCAAAACTCTCGTGAAAGTTTGCTGCACGGGGTTGTGTGGGGTTCCGCGGTACGCTGATCACGGATTTAATTGTTTACTTATTGTTTTGTTCGCCGTCGCTCTAGGTCTCGCCGTCGCTCTAGGTCCCTCGGGCCTTGCTCAAGCTATACTTCTTGATTATCTGCTGCTTTGAATCTCCTCCTTACACAAGGTAGCCTGGTTCGCGATGCAGGAGGAACATCATTTTGGTTATCTACTAATGGTAAGTGGCAAGGGTTTTAGGATTGTTGTTAGCCTGCTCTCAGCGCGATAACGTTTGAGAGTATCGGAAATGTTATCACAAGAATGCTGAGTTGTGGGCAAAAGTCGTGCCCCAGGCGGGAGTCGAACCCGCACCTCACGCTTTCCGGGCGAGTGCGCTATCCGTTACGCCACCAGGGCCGCTTTTACCCTCTCAGCTTAACGCCGTTAAGCTGAGAGGGTAAAAGCGGCCCTGGTGGCGTAACGGATAGCGCACTCGCCCGGAAAGCGTGAGGTGCGGGTTCGACTCCCGCCTGGGGCACGACTTTTGCCCACAACTCAGCATTCTTGTGATAACATTCGGAACGCGTACTGCGGCGTTAAACAGCAGTTATCATAACAAAACAGTATCGGAAATATTTTTGGGCATAGTTCGAGAAGCAGTAATTTATATGGGAAGGTGGAGCATTCCAGTGCCAGCATTTCGGAGCACTTCGCAGGGAGGCCTCTAGGTACCAGCCCCTCCCTCCTTCATCAAAAAACGTTGTTCCGTACAACGTGTTCCTGTCACGAGGCACGCACTGTTTGACCCAGAGGCAGACTGTTTCCAACAGACTGCCGCACCTGTAGCAGACATTCTTGAATGTTTTCGACCTTCTTGTAGGTGGTGCATCTGGGACAGGATGGCAATTGTCTGTAGTTGTCATTCTTGTTTTGTGGTTTTTAATTCGTGTTGAACTTATTTCAAATGTCCATGGGTTTTTTCCTAAAACACCTTACCTTTTTGGCAGACCCACCGCTTCGATAGATATGTCAAATGTGAGTCGAAAATGGCAATATAACGTGACGTGCTGACACTCGGGTCCTCTTATGGCACTGCAAGAATATTCGTTCAGACGCAGCGCATGCCTCCTATTTGAACGCATATTCTGTTTGCAGTAAAAGAATGGTGGTTGGCGTTGACTGCTCTCTTTTAGGTGCGCACCGTGCACTCAGCTCTCTTTTGAAATCGGAAAGGTGTCTTAAAAGTA